TCAGAAAACCATGACAAGATCTATACGAACAAAGTGAAGTAAGAAGAACCAGGAGATCATTGTGCCCAGTTACAGCAATGTTGTAATGATGATCAATTGTGAAAGACTTGACTACTCTGATCAATACAGTGACCTAAGACAATTGCAAAGGACTCATGACAAAAAATGCCATCCACCTTTAGATAAAGAACTGAGGAACACTGAGTACAAACTGAAGTATTATTTTCCTGCTTTCTTTATTTTTTTCTTCATTTTCTGGTATGACTAATATGGAAGCATGTTTTGCATGATTTCATGTGTATAATTGATATCATATTGTTTGCCTTCTCTGTGGGTAGGGGAAGGTTGAACGGAAAGAGAATCTGAACTCAAAGTTTAAAAAGAACATTTAAAAGAAATATTTTTTTAATTTTATAGGAGTATTGGGGTTCAAGGGAACCTTAGGGATGATTGGGTCCAAAATCCTTGTTTAATAATTGAGGATGCTGAGGCAAAGAGAAGTGAGGTGATTTGCCCATCATTAAGTATCAGAGCTGGGATTTGAATCCAAATCTTTTGACATCAAACCCAATGCTCTTGCCATTATATCAAGATCCTTTTCATGTTTCCATAAGCTATATGAGTGGGGGGGGACTATGTAAATATAATAATAGCTTGGCTTGTGTATGGAATAAATAGATATCTGATCTTGGATCTGGCCCACTTATCTCCAAGAGAGACTGACCTCTACCCTTTGTGGAGAGCAAGAGGAAGCCCGTGGCTGAGGGGCCAAGGCCTCTTCCCTTGCCCAATTCCTAAAAAGGGCAGTGGAATAGAATTATATCTGCACATTTCATCTCAAACATTGCTAGTCTTATGATACAATACTTGGGGGAGAGGGGACAGGATCAACACCATTTTCCTGATCACTCTCAAGGGGAGGGTGGTGTCTTTCTATCATCAGCTTCTACCAAAGGCACAAAAAATCATTATGAGTAGCTAGTACATCTCTTTATCAAAATAAATAGCTATAACAGAAGTTATACAGATAAATAGCTATACAAATAGTATACATAGTTATACAATAAATAGTTATACATAGTTATACAATAAATAGTTATACA